TCACAAACACAACATGTTCGTGGTGGTTAATCCAGACTGGGACTTGTTTTCCATATTCCCTCTGCAAGAACTGATACAATCTTTGGAGTTATAACAAAAATACTGAATACACTGGAACAATGAGCATCATTCTTGCAGTCAAATACAGCAAATTCCCTGGTGAGTTATGCTGGGTCTGCTCTCTCGGGTATCAGTAGGAGAGAGGGGGAGAATCTTGTACTCAATAATTCATGGATCCATAAAGGTTTTTTTTTAAGCAAGCAATAATTCTTTGGAAATTAAGGCTAATTAAAAGCAATACCATCCTCATAAATGTGTTCAGCTACTTTGTTAGGACAATTTGATATTTGTTTCCTGCGCTGTTCCCATGAGCATCCTAATCAGTGTTTTGCTGTAATTGTGATTAGAGACCATACCACAGAGACAGACTCCTTACAATACTGGGTTGTGACAGACTTGAGGGTCTTCTGGATATTTACAACGGATTAGGCTTTTTCATTTTAGGGTCATTGCAGCTTTAACCTCTACACAGTGGTTTCTGGCTAATGCCAGCACTGCTCCTGGGTGCAAAGCACGTGTGAGAAATGCCTGCATGCTTGATGTACTTAAAAGGGAAGACAGGAACTCGAAAAAAACCTCTTTCCTCCACTCCTCATCCTCAGTAATTGGCCCCAACTTCCTCCCCAAGTCTTTCCTGGTTAGTCAGAAATGAAATGTGTGCTGGAACCCAGGTTTTTTGCCCCCTTCAGCTGTTGGCACATCTGTTGGTGTGCTGGGGCTGAGCTGGGAGTTCCATATGGCTGCAGTGTTGGAGGCTGAAGCTGCTCCCATGGAGCCAAATGCTCCAGCAGCGTGTCCCTTACCCATTGACATGCACAGAACCTCAGATGGATATTTTAGTTTTTCTTGTCTTTCTCAGGGGCACAAACCGAAGAAAAAATAGCTCTGTTGTTTACCCAGCTCCTGTTTTCTGAGGGCACATCTCTGTGTGTGTGACAGTGGGTGACCCTCAGTGCCAGGCTGTCACCACTGCTGTGTCACTTGCTACAGGGCTGGTGCTGTTCCCATCCTTCCATCCCCAGCTATGGATGACTCTGGTTACACACCACACGTGAAGGGAGCAGTACAATGTTCAAAATGCCTTTCTGTCCTTTCCTCTTGCTGCAAAATTTAAACTCTGGGACAGTGTGCAGAGGAGTTTTCCAGGTGTGTGCTGGCAACTCATCCATGTGTGCCTTTGAGTGTGAACAGGGAGTGAAAATAGCTTGTGTCATGTCTGGATGCAGAGAAGTTTTGGCAAGGAAGATGTGTAACAAACAAAATCCTTCTCTCCTGCTGTGAACAAAATAGTTATTTGTAAGTATTTGTCAGAGAGTTTAGATGAACAATTTTAGGCATCAGGCATTAAAATTACTTGTAAACTGCTTGCTCTGACATTTCTGCCTTTGCCACTTGTGGTGTGTTATGGTTCACAATTACCTGGTTTTGCTCAGTGATTGAGTTATTGAACTTGAGAAAAACAGAGCTCTGGAAATCTATAGTATGAGATGAAATGACTGAGGAGCACCTGAGGAGTTGTGCTTCCCAGCTCTGCTTTACAGAAATGTTTGCTCCGGTTTGTGAGCGAAGGACATGAGTTTGAAGTCAGTGTGAAGTCAGTGAGTGAATTGCTGCAGTCACATAGCGAAGTAAAATAAATAGGCAGAAGCAGAAGTCAGAGTGCCTGAGTCCACATGTAGAAAAGTTCAAGTCTGGAAGCCAGACAAACAAATAAAACTCAGTGGCAAATAGTTGCAGCAGCAGCAGCTTCTCTGCCCACAAGCACACTGTGATGGCTGTGAAGGAGCAGAAAAGTTGCTCTTTTCCAAGAAACTCAAATCACCATAAGATTTAAACGTGTAAATGACTTATTTACACTTTTTTAAAAAAAATTCCCTTTGTTTTGTTTTTGTTGTCCCTTTCTTACACCTTATCTAAGTTTCTGTTTGATTAAAGCCCTCTGTTGCAGTGTAGTCATGGCAACAAGTTTACATGAACAAGGGAGCTGTTTTTATAGGAATGTAGGATTTAGAAGAAAACTAAACCAAACCCAAACAAGACAAGCCTTCATGTGGTCCTGACCCAGCAGTTACTCCGAATGATGGAGGCATGAGTGAGGAGTACAAAGATGTCCACGTGCATTTGTCTCTGTGAGTTCACTGGAGACTCTGCTCATGCCTGTGACCATAGGGACGTCCTTGGGTATGTTTTATTCAAATATGATGTATGTGTAAAAGGGGCCATGTAAGAGTTGGGGTGATGCTGAAGTTGTGACTGCCTCCCTGCACTGGCATTGACCATGAAACCACCGCAGCACGAATTTCAGGGAGGATCCCCTGCAGAAACACAGGTCCATGTTGGTGGAGCTCCTGTGGGATGTCTCCACAGAGCACCAGACTGAATTTAGTGAGATTTAGCTGTGGCAGGTGGACACTTGCTGCAGTTGTACCTGAAAGTGCATTACAGACACAGCTCTGAGCAGGGCCTCTCTGTACAGAAAGCTTCTCGTTGCTGTAACAATAATTGTTCAGAAGAATTCCTGGAGGAATTTGCACAGCTTCCTAGTGGGGTGCAGTTATGCCAGTGGAGAGGTGTTGTATGCTAATCCCATCATTACCAGGGCACTGACTACACTAGACCAGTTTCTAGAAAACAGGAGAATTATAACAATACAAAACCTCTCTGCAGAGATACCCAATGCTTTAAAGACTTTAGAATATGCTGGCTCTAATTAAGGTGTTTGGAAGCTGCAAGTGTGCACTTCAGCACCTCCTAAATTGGTCAAGGCAGGTTCTACCTAGTCTTTAATTTGACCTTCCTAGCACGTATTAAAAGCAGTCACACCTTGACTGCACTGGACTCTTGTGACACATCACTTCCAGAGAATTAGTTAATGAGGTTCATCTCTCACCTGAAAAAGGGGCTCTGTGGACACGTGTTTGTGTGAACCTGTGAGTTAAGGGATTATTTTTTGATGTGAGGAGGGCACACCTGATGTTACCTGCTTTTCAGTGGTCACTAATTTTCCGTTGTCGTAACCCAGCAGTAGATTCCAGCCCTACACACACATTCCTGGACAGTCGGTTTTTCAGTGTTTCTTTTTGTTACTATGATTGCAGGAGGAAAGGCAGGCAGGAAGTCGGGGAAGTGGAGTTAGGAAGGAGTGCTGGGACAAAGCCAAGCTTTAGATGAATACAATCTGACCATCATTTCAGCATCTTTTGACACAGGGGAGTGTTTCTTAGCAGTGGAGCAGAGTAGCACGAAGGCTTTAGGAAAAAGGAGAATCTGGTGGATGATTTCTTCTGCGTTACAACTCTGATATCTCAAGTATTTCACAACGGTTACAAATTAGCAATAAATAACCTCTGAGGAGGGAGGAAAAGGGGAGAAAGATGCATTTTTAATTGCAGTATGCACAAAGAAGTGTAGTTAATGCACAGAGAAGGACATGGGAGCTGCCCAGTGACTGGAGCTGCAAAGAAGGCAGCTCTTGCCTTAAAGGGTCAGAGAACAGTTACTGTATCAGCAGCTTTGATACTTAAGGTTTATTCCATTGGTGATTTCTGTAAATGATTTTTTTTTTTTACATCGTGGAGGCATCACTTGAATGTAACTAAACTTGTTTTCCAAAACCTTTGCAGAGAAGGGCAGTCCTCATGCTGTATTACAGGGGACTAGACACTGAAGAGTGAAGTCAGTAAAAAACTGCCATTGGTTTTAATGGAAATAGGTTTGTGCCCTTTTAATTTAAGCTTCTTCTTGTGGAGGGGGTGTGTGTGTAGCAGTGTGCAGAGGTCTCTGAGCCACAGGCCAGGTGATTGTTTGACAGCACAGCATAACCCCTGCACCAGCTGGGAGAGAGAACAGTGTGTTCCCTGCACGGGAAGTTATTCATTATTTAGGAGAACGGAGCAGCTAGTTTAGAATTGGAGCCCTTGCCTCCAAAATAAAACTTTCTCCCCGACAGACGTTTTAATTCCTCTATTTCTCTGAGTTCTGATCTGCTCAGACTGGTCACAAAGCTGTACAGGGTGCTGGTAAGGAAGGTGATTTGGAAGAGGCATTTTGTGAATATAGTTTGATAAGAAGAGAGTTTCTTAAGCCACCACTGACTGTCCCAGGCCATCCTCCTGGAAGCAGACAGAACACCTGCATCAGATAGAGGTGCATGCAGTTTACAGCTCTGGTTTGTGTGTAAGCCCATACTGCCCTGACACTGCTTTCTAGAAAAGCCAAAAAAACCTCAGTTCCATGGTGCTCCTTTTTCACTCCAATAAAAGGCAGTGTTCTGAATCAGTGGGATTAACAAGTGGGATCAGCAGTTCTGAGAAAGCGTTGGTTTTTTTTTTTTTTTTCAGAGGCAAAGCCCTTTCCAAGGTCCTCCTTCCCAACCCTCCTCCCCTGAACACCCACCTGTGCCCTCCCTGCTGTTGCTCTTGCTGCTGGGCTGTCAGAACCTCTCTCCTAATGAAGCAGTCTGGCCTGAGGCTGCTATTACCTCAATCCCAGTCCCGCTGAGCGTGACTCCAGCAGCAGGGCTGGTGTTCCCAGGCAGGGAGCACAGAGCTGGGCTGCACCTGGCAAGGAATAGAAGGCAAAAAGCAGTGAATCCTGGCTGTTAGACAGTCCTGATGTCCTCTGAGACTGTGGAAGAGGCTGAGGAAGGCGTGAGTGTGGTGGCTCTGTGGTCTCCTCCCCTGTGTTTTGGTAGGTGCAGCAACTTGGTAGGGAGAGGGGTTGCTGCTTCTCCTCACTGGTGTGATAAGTGTCAGGGAATTCTGTGGAAAGAGAGGGAAGTGAGGAGGGGAGCTGCTAACTTGCAGTCTTAAAAGGCTAAACACCCCAACTTCTTCGGGGGGAACAACACCACGATTCACTGGATACTGGATTCACGGGATACTACACCAGTTGTTGAAAGACCTGGTTTATTTTCTGAAGTGTTTCAGTGTGCAGGACAGAACTTAGCTGGCACAGTCGGTTGTGGACTGTAAGAAACTCATGCTACAGACCTGCTATGACAAGGGCAGCAAGGCCAGTGCTGTAGGTGCAGCTGTGCTGACAGAAATGTTGGATCTTCCTTTAGCTTAGTTCAGGCAGAGGCCCAGCGGTGCCAGAGATGGCACGTGTGGCATCTGTGCTGGATTCCTGCAAAGACAGAGGCTCTGGATCAGTTTGTGAACTCAGGCTGGTCATTTCCCAGGATGTCTCTCTCCTCCCAGCCTCAACCTGTCTTTCCTGTAAAGGGGCAGGGCCTGCATCTGCAATGAGTTTTTAAAACACAGCTCAAAGAACCTTTGATCTCAGTCAGAAACTCAGAGGTTTACTGAAACACATGTAAACAAGTTACATTTAGGAAGTTTTCCCTTCTTTTCTGGGTTGAATAGTGGAGGAATATCCAGGATAAGTAATTTGTCCATGAAACTGGTGATAGAATACAGAGGAAAATCTGTCTCCCTTAAGTGTAAGACCTGTGCTTAAAGCATTATCTCTACTTGGAAAGCACTTTACAGCACAGGTAACTCTTTGCAGTTGTTGACACATTTGACCTGAGAGACATGGGCTTTGTTTCAATTCAACACTATCTCTTCAGAAGTGGAGAACTAAACGATCACCATTTACTGTGTTTACTGTGGTGGTGCCTCTGTGAGCAAATTGAGATTCGTGGTTTCACTTCGCTGGGTGCCCTGGAAACACACACAACAAAAAGACAGTGGTGATTCGTGCCCCCAGACCTGACAACCTGTTCCAGTCCCTCGGTGTGGAATCTGCAAAGCATTCCTGGTTCTCTCTCCAGCCACGTGTGCCTGGGTTTGCTCAGTGCTCTCTGATCTGCTCTCCAGTGGTGAATCTGTTTACACTAATCCGGAAAGCTCTGCTATTGAGAGTGTGGAGCTGAACAACTTCAGACTTCTGCTGTTCTGAACTCAGACATCCAGACACAGCTCTTGCTCTTTATTACAGGCAGGACTCGTTGTTAACTTTAGTGCTGATGGGATCAGTCTGAATCTGTGCCTCTTGAACACCCCCAAACTTCAGGGAGTTCTGCCAGAACACCTGTATGTGAGGAAGGTGTTCCTGGAGGATGAAGGCCAGCCTTGCCCTGCTCTCCTGTGACCACTCCTGGAGTGGAAATCCAGTGGAATCATGGAAACTCACCTTTGGAGAAGGCCTCTCCCTACACCTGGAGATGAAGTTGCCATTAGGAGTGGAGGTGAAGAACAGTAACCCTTGTGGCTGTAAAAAAGAAGGAAGGCTTTGAGAAAAAACACCCACTCCCCTGTAACAAGTGAAAAGAAATCAGGCCCACGAAGCCAAGTTACAAAGGAGATGGAGTCAAGGGAAGTCTGGAGTAGATCTCAAGGCTCTGCAGAGCCCAGTGCAGTTCCAAGTGTGCCAGGCATGAAAGTTTCTGGGTGTGTAAGAGTGAGCAATTCTCACCTGAGCTCCATCCAGAATCCTCTCTCACTTCCACAGAGAATATCTGTGCCTCCCAGAGCCTCTTCCAAGCATTTTCCTTGGTTCATTAGGTGATAATAGAAAGTGATTTTCCCCCTATAATCTTGAGCAATCAGAAGCATTAAGAATAAAAGCCTAAGCCTGAAAGCCTAAATGAGAGGGTTTGATGGCTATGTGTATCTGCCTCCTTCACTGCAGCAAGAAGCAAGGATGGATCCCAGAGTTTGTGTTTCTCAAGAATAAATAAGCAAGAAACAAGGATCATGGTCAAGTAGTGTCAAGAGATAATTGAGGTTTGGGGCTTAGATTCCATTCCCAGATCTGCTGAACCTCAGAGAGGCAGTTTCTCTGCCTTCACTGGTAGGAAAGCAGTAGCTGTGTCCCAAAAGTGGTCCATTAGTGGACTTTTTGTACAACGAGAGGGTTACCTGTCAGCTGAGAGCTGGGGGGGCACAGAAAATAACTCATGTGGTCTTTTTCCTGGTCTATGAGTGCTTGGAGATGACCTGGGAGATGGTGCTGAAGTGGCAGGGGCAGTTACTGCTCAGGAACGGCCCTGCCAGCTCTGCCAGTGGCTGGTTGGCACACAGCAAATCCATTTCCCACTGTCTGGAAGGCAAGTTCAACTTGCCACCACCTCCCCCTGTAAGCAGGCAACTCATGAGACACAGCCTGGGACCAAGCTGAGAACTTTTTGTTGTTCTGGGAACTCTGAGACAGAGCTCACACAGAACTCTCACTGTTTTGCCGCCTGGTGAGACTTGAGGGCCGTATTTCTTGCCCTGCGTTTAAGGGGATAATTTATTTTTATTTCCCTTCTAGGTAGGATTCTTCCTGCCCAGTCGATCCTACTCAGCATCCAAAGGTAGGGAACTCCATCTTGGTGACGTGACAAATCTCTGTAACGACCGCACAACTTCATTTTGGGCCGCGTCGTCCTCTCGGGGCAGCTTCACACGGACCTCGTGCCGCGGCATGTGATGGAAAACAAATTTACGCCGTGTCTCCCAAGCCTGGCTCCATCCCTACACGGGAATGAGAAGGATGCAGCCTGCCTTCCCAAGGTACAGCGCAACGGGAGGCTGCCAGGGAGAGCGAGCAGCGGGTATTCCTGCACGGGGAGGGCACCCGGGGATGCAGAGGGATGGGCATCATGCGGGAGGGTGTCCGCGTCCCCTCCGGGGCCGGGGGAGCCCCGGGTCCCCCCCGGGCTGGCGGCAGCCGGCGCTGGCCCCGCCGTCCGTCGCTCACCCCCCTCGCTGCCGCCGGCGCGGCGCTTCCAAAGCGCCTCTGCTGTTTAAATGGGCCAAGTTAGAGAAGCGGCGGCGGCGGCGGCGGAGGGAAATCTTGTTTGGTCAGAGTCTCCGAACTGTGCGGTGACTTCTGAGCACAGATCAATACGTGTCTGTCCCGGCTCGGGGCGGGGGAGGGGGGGCCCGCCCGGCACAGCGCCGGCTTTTGGGGCTGGGGGCAGCGTTGTGGGGAGCGCAGAGCCGGGGGGATGTCACCGTAGATGTCTGTGTGTCTGCGCGCGTGTAGAGATCTATCTATCTATCTATCTATCTATCTATATGTATATACAGAGAGATACGGAGCGTAACACCACGTTTCTTAAAATCTCGTGCAGGAGTGGAAATTAAATAACCAACTCGCGGGGGATCATAAAAGGCTTCGGTGGGAGCGGGGCGAGTCCGCACCGCGCAGGTGAAGGTGGGCGGCCCCGGGGAAAGTTCGCCGCCGCCGCCCGGGTGTCTGGAGCCCCGCGGGCAGAGCCGGCACCGGCCGGGGCTCCGTCCTCCCGGCGGGCGCCGGCGGGGCGGGGAGGGGTCGCGGGGCGGCGGCGGGGGCGCAGCGTTTAATTTTAATTATTGCATATAAATAAATAAACCAGGTGTCAGTTTAAAGGAAGCGGCGGGGGAGGGAGGGTGAAAGGGGGGCTCTGGGTGGGCGGCGGGGAACCCTCCAGCCTGGTGAGAAGGTGGGTCGATCTAAGGGAATCAATAAGCTTTTTTTTTTTTTTTTTTTTTTTTAAACCAAAATAATGTCTACGGCAGCAGAGACCTCTCCGAGATGTCAGGTATTAGTCCGGAGGGGCAGATCTGCGAGCCACACAGCAGCTCCCGGGTCTACGGTACATTAGCCTCTCCGTGGGAGAGGGATCCCAGACAGCTCTGCTGGGGAGCCAGCCCAGGAGATTTGTTAGCGGGCTGCTCCGGGGGATACCAGCCACCTCCGGCACCCGAGCGCCAAAGGTGCTTGTGTTGCTGCTGCTGCTGCTGCTGGCGCATTTCATCCAAACTCCAGCCAGAGCGGGGGCAAGTTGAACCGGAGACATTAGAGCCACTGTGCTTTGGAGAGACGAGGGCGCACGGGGAGCGCAGCGGCACCATGCCTGCTATCAAGAAGGAGCGACTTGACAGGGAAGAGATGGCCCTGGCAGCTTTTAACCAGCCCATGGAAACCTTACCTGACTATCTCGCCCCTCTGGCCGCCGCTGCCATTCCGGTGGTCACCCCGCACCCGCCGGCTTACGACCAGATCTTTGCCCACCGCGCGTACCTGGGCTTCCACGAGACCCACCACCCCCACCCGCACCACCCGCACCACCCCCACCACCTCCCCGAGGACCTGATGCTGGAGAGGTTTTCCTCCATCCCGGATTTCCAGCCCTTCTTTGACAACGGAGAGCCTTGCATCGAGGTGGAGTGCGGGGAGAACAAGGCGCTGCTCTACATCAATAAGTTGTGCCAGGGGAGCAAAGGACCCTCTATCCGGTACCGGGGAGAGTGGCTCACCCCCAACGAGTTCCAGTTTGTCAGCGGCAGGGAGACGGCCAAGGACTGGAAGCGCAGCATCAGGCACAAAGGTAAAGGCACCGCTCGGCGTGTGCCGGGGTCCCCGCGCCGCTCCGCTCTTCCTCAGCATCCTCCTTCTCGCCCCCGCGCTCGGGGAGCGGGATCCGAGGGGGAGCTTACCGGCTATTAGCGCCCGCACGGGGAGAGCTGAGCCCTGATCCCCTGCGGCCGTGCCCCCCTCCCCCGCGCACCCCCGGCCCCTCTCCGCCGGATCCCCGCGCCCCGGGACCGGCCAAGTTTTCCGGGGGATTTGGGAATAGTTCCTTTTTTTTTAGGGGTGGGTGGAGGGTGCGTGAGGAAGGCCGAGCGTTGATTTTGGGGGGGGGGGGGGGTGCTCCTCTCTCGCTGGAGAGAAGTTTCATTCCGCGCGGGCGGAGGTTTGAACAGCGGGCGGACCGCGGGGTGCGGGGGCTCTCGGGGGGCTCGGCGCCCCGCGGGGGTGGTCGCCCGCCCCTGCGAGCCCCCGGCGGTGTCGGCGGCGGTGTCGGGCAGAGCCGGCGCCGCGGGGAGCGGCAGCGCAGCCCCGGCCAGGCACCGGCGGGGCGGCGGGCGGGGCGGAGGGGGTGTTCCCCTCGCAGCTGGGTGGTGCGGGACCTCCGCGGCGCCGGCGGCTGCTGACGGGCGCCTGCCCTGCCTCCCTCCCTCCCCTCCCCGCCCGCCCGAGCCGGCGCCGCAGTCCCGGCACCGCGGCGGAGCTGCTGGTGCGGGCGGCAGGTGGAGAGCGGGGCCCCGGCGGAGGAGCGGGGGGCTCCGGGGGGAGCAGCGGGGGCGGGCGGGGAGAGAGCGGAGCCGATGCGGCACGTAATGAGCTCTGAGACCTGGAGGTGTCAGCCCTGGGGGGCTGAGGAGCGATTAGGAGGTGACTGACACCTCGCCTGGGTTATTGATCGCCAGAGCGCCGGGGCATCGCTTCGGGCCGCCGCGCTAATTGCCGGGGCTCCCGTGCGCATCGCTCCCGTTTTTTTTTTTTATTACTGGGGCTCCTGCTGCCTTCGGGAAAAGCTCAATTCCTCTGGGGTGAGTCAGGAGGACTGAGGCGCAGTGGACGGAGGAGCAGCGGGGAGGCGCCGCGTGGGCTGCCCCGCTCGCCCGGCCGTGCCCCGGGTGCGTGGGCAGCGCGCAGCCTGCGGGGGTTTGGCCGCGGCTCTGCCGGGCTGGGGGAGCTCCTCCTGCCGCGGCTCTGCCCTGGGTGTGCGGGAGCTCCTCCTGCCGCGGCTCTGCC